AAATAAATACCACATCGACCAGATAAAGCTATCGCGCCCCACACCATGATTGAAGGACATTGCTTGACAGCTGGTACGGTATACCTTGCATTAAAACGCTGATTAGGGGGGCGACGAACTAATGACTTATGCGGAGCGAATTGCTTTATTTGTGTCTCGTTGCTGAACATTACCTGGCGCCATTTGGTTATTGACCAGTGCCTGTGAGCTCTACAAAATGCGACCCTATCACGGATGTTCTTTAAAGAAAGTCGCGGTTTGAGGGCTGGACGACGAGAACGTAGACTTGCATCTTTCAATAAACGTCTTCTAATTGTTCGAGTGCTGACTGTAACGTCATTAGGTAGATCTGCCCCGATTTGTGTGCTGGATATTGTTGGATCTCTCACAGCAGCCCTGCGTATCATATTGTCTGTTTGTTTGCTAGTAATTCTAGCTTTACCAAAATGTTTTCTGGGCGCAGTGGATCCCGTGTCTTTGATTAGTTGTATAATATCATGAACAGTAGATTTTGGCATTCTCAATCTTGCTGATATCTGACGCTCACTTGCACCATCCTCCCATAAAAGTTTAATATTAACACGAACACCTTCCTTCGTAGTCATAATTAAATTGTGACATTTAAACGATATTCCATACCCTACAATGAGATATATAGCTTAATAAATTTTACAGTGCAATAAAATAAATGCTAATGTGATTGGCTAAAAGCTAATTAACTAATCATTGATGTCAGGGAATAAAATAAATTGATTATTCGTGTGCATAGACTGTTTTTCTTTATATTCAGCAGTGGTCGGATTTCAATGGCCATAACTGTGTATATATATATATATATATATATATATATATATATATATATATATATATATATATATATATATATATATATATATATATATATATATATATATATATATATACAGTGCTCGAAGTGGAGAAAAAAAAATAACGAGATGGTATTCAGTAAATTAAAAATACCATCATTGTTATATATAGTGAGTGAAAACTTAAGCATGTTTTTACAACATATCGTGAATACCAGCGACGCAGAAAAAAAAAAGAGCTTTGTAATTGGGGACTTAAATATGAATTGTTTTCTTTATAACGATGAGTATAAAGTTAAAAAATTTTATGACACAATTTTTGAAACAGGGTCTATACCCTTAATTAATCGCCCTACTAGGGTAACAATAAACTCGGCTACCCTAATAGATAATATCATTACAACAAATATTTTTAATAAAGATATTCAAAAAGGTATTTTAAAAACTGATATATCCGATCATTTTCCTATATTTCTTATTATAAACTCAAATTTAGAAAAAAATATTAACAACCCTACAGTTGTAAGAAAACGTATCTTTAAACAAAAAAACTTTGAGCTATTTAAAGATCAACTACCTTTGCTCCATTGGAATCATATTGATTTTAATGGCAATGCAAATAACATCTACGAAGCATTTTATAAAACATTGTTTTCCGTTTACGACGCTAATTTTCCAATTGTTGAAAAAATAATAAAAATTAACAAAAGCTCAAAAAGTCCCTGGATTACGAAGGGGTTAAAAAAATCGTCAAAAATTAAACAGAAGTTGTATATTAAATATTTAAAAACAAAAACATTTGCTAGCGAAAAAATATACAAAAACTACAAATATCTATTTGAAAAAATACGTAAAAACTTAAAAAGAAATTACTACTTAGAACTAATTAATAAATTTAAAAACGATTTGAAACGCACATGGCAAATTATGAAAGAAATTACTGGAAAACAAAAATTGTGCTTAGGTTTTCTGCCGCAGATGATTAAAGTTGATAACATAACCCAAGAGCCATATCCCATGAATTTAATAAATCTTTTATTGCGATAGGTCCTTCCTTATCAAATAGGATTTCAAATACGACGGCTTCTTTTAATGATTTTCTCGTACCTATGGATATTGCATTTGCTCTGATGAGTTATCTTCAGAATTATCTTTTGAGGAATTTGAAGTAGCTTTGAATTCTGTGAAAAGAAAAAAAGCAACAGGAGCAGATGAAATTAATGGAAACGTAATTATAGATTGTTTCGATATATTAAAACATATTATTTTTAAAATTTTTAGAGCTTCTATAAATCAAGGAATTTTTCCAGAACAATTAAAAGTTGCTAAAGTTACTCCTATCTTTAAAGAAGGTGATAGATCAAATATTAGCAACTATCGACCCATTTCTGTTCTTTCGGTATTTTCAAAAATTTTAGAAAGAATAATGTCTAATAGAATATACAAACATTTCAACAAAAATAACTTACTGTACAACAAACAATTTGGTTTTAAAAAAGATAACTCAACAGAGCATGCAATAATCCAGTTTGTGCATGAAATCTCAAAATCTTTTGAAAAATCACAGTACTTGTTAGGTATCTTCATTGACCTATCAAAAGCTTTCGACACGGTAGATCATCACATTCTGCTTCAAAAACTTGAATATTATGGAATTAATGGTATTTCTTTAAAATGGTTTAGAAGCTATTTAACAAAAAGAAAACAATTTGTAATTAGTAACGACGGCTATCAAAATAATTGTCTTGATATCGTCTGCGGTGTTCCTCAGGGTTCAATCCTCGGGCCCCTACTTTTCTTGATATATATAAATGATCTGAATAAAGCTTCTAACCTTATAAGCATTATGTACGCAGATGATACCAATCTATTCCTCTCAAACAGTAATATATACGAACTCTTTACTACTATGAATAAAGAGTTAAAACATATATCAAACTGGTTTAAATGTAATAAGCTAACTTTAAATATTAATAAAACCAAATGGACTCTATTCCATTCGCATGAAAAAAAGCGATTTTTACCAATAAATTTGCCGCAACTTTTTATTGACGAAATTGAAATAAAAAATGGTTCCGTTACAAAATTCTTAGGTGTTTATCTCGATGAAAACATCTCCTGGAATCAACATATTAATTATATATCTACTAAAATTTCAAAAAACATTGGGATTCTACATAAAGCTCGTAACTACCTAAATAAAAATTGCTTAAAACAACTTTATTACTCTTTTCACAGTTACATAAATTATGCCAACACTGCTTGGGGGAGTACCGCATAATTAACTATGCCGATCGTTTTACACACACAAAACCTCTTTTTACTGAAATGAGATTGTTAAATTTATTTGAACTCAATGTATTTAAAGTTTTATGTTTTGTATATCTATGGAGAAATAATCAATCCCCTACCGTTTTTAATAATACTTTCAAACTCAAACCTAACAACAAATACGATATGAGAAACATAAACTTTTTAAAAGAACCATTTTGTCACACAAAATTTAATCAATTTTGCATTGCTTATCGTGGACCCCAGCTATGGAATAATATAGTTTTGCAGAACTTCCTTTTACCTTTTCAAGCTCAATCTTAAAAAATGTATTATTTCACTTGATAATATACTCAGATACTTCTAATATTTTGAAAATTGTTATACAACTTGGATTCAGTACTTCCTTTATTTTAATTTTTACTTTATTTTTTTAGTATCTTATACTGGTATTTATTTTGCTTGTTTGTGCTTTATAAGGTTCTGATGACAAGATCTTGTGATCTTCTTTCAGATCCTAGCTTATGTTTCATTGTAAGCAGTTTATGTATGTGCGCATCTACGCATTTGTATGTGTATATATGCTTATATTTATATATGTATGTCCGTGTTTTTTCTTATTTTAATTTAGTTGATAAATGTTGTAACACGAATTTAATTGTAACACGATATATATGACATATATAATTGTACTTTGACATTTTAATGTAAGCAAAATTTAAAAAAAAAAAAAAAATTATAAAAAAGTGGTGGGATGGTTTATACTTTATAAAAAGGTGACATTTTTTTTGATAGTGTAAGGCAAACGTATTTTTGAGTTTTTTTTTTTATTATTAAAAACGTTTTCTACATGCATTTTTTATGCACAGGCCAAATTTCACCGAAAAAGAAATATAAGCAAATAGTTTAATTAGTGTTATTTTAAGTATAGCGCTTTTTTTAGGTTGACTTAGGCAAACTTATTTTTCTAGTAATTCTTTTTAGAAACATATATAATTTAAACTATTATTTAAAAGAAGTAAGGTTAAGCTTGATTTTTATATGTTTTTTAAGCATGATTGCAATACTTTTTAATGGATTATTTTGCTGACAAATTTCCATTAAAATTTTGTTGATGTTCTCACATTAATTTTTAGTCGAAGAAATGTTGAGCCCCCTATTTTTATTATTAAGAATGTTTTCTACATTCATTTTCTATGCACATGCCAAATTTCACTGAAAAAGAAATATAAGCAAATAGTTTAATTAGTGTAGCACTTTTGGCACTAATTTCTGTTTTTCTGTTGTTGTTTTTTTCGGCAAGCAGAGTACGGGGGCGGATCAGGGGGTCATTTCTATAAACAAAAACTACTACATTAATGTATTTTTTTTTTTAAAACATAATAAAATGGAAAAAATCAATAAAAATTTTTAAGATTCTCTAACACTATTAAATACTATTATCAACAACTATTTCTAGAGCAAAAACAATATTGATAAATGTAAAACCTTAATCTTTTTCTAAGTGATAATAACATGAAAATTAATGTTTAAGATTAAAAAAATTTTCTTTTGAATTGATTGTTAACTAATATTATCAGTTGACAATTTTATTAAAACCCCATATATTAGTCATACACATTCTTCATTGGTTTATTCTTAACAAAAACCTTGTAAGTGTTTTTCAAAGATAGTAAAAGATATTATTATTGTTATATTTTATCATTTTCTGATTGTATACTTCTTTATCTTTGGATTATTATTTAAATCTTTATACCAGCATGCCTATTATTTGTTTAGATCCTTGCACATTAGTTGTGGATTTTTTACAATTTCGTAAATATTAATCACATAATTTTTGGGTTTGTTTGTTAAAATAATCATGTTCATCATTAAATACAAATATCAAGTAATATATAATATAAAGTAGATGTTAATAGATTTTTTAAAGTATATTAAAGTACTTTAAAAACCTTAAGTTCATGTTTTTTTACTTCTTGTGTATTACTTTATCTTTGTTTAATGTTTACATAGTTATACAAACATTCCTAGTGTTAGCTTGTCTTTTTAAAAGTATTTTAAAATGTTTTGTGTAATCATACAATTTTTTTGTTATCTTTAGTCCAATCTACACAGCCTACCACTGGTAAGTTTGTATAGCATAACCTTTAGCAATGATAATAGATTTGATACTAATTTCAAATTGTAATATTTATTTTTTATTGCAAATTTTTAACTTTAGCTGCATCTTCATCTGGAACAAGTGGTAAGATGGTAACAATTATTACATTAATATGTATGCATTTCTCGATAATTGCAAATTAATTTTTTATTAAAACTTTTAAACCTTAGTTCCATGTGCTGCTGCATTGAGTGCTAAGTTAAAAAATATTTTTATTGTATACTACAAAAAACTTGTTCATATATATATTTTTCACATCAACTGTAATATTTATTTTTATTACTCCTTTTTTTACCTTAGTTCCATCTACATCGGCTACAACTGGTATGTTGACAAAATATTTTTTTCAAAATTTTTATGCATTTTTCAACAATTGCAATATTTATTTCTTATTAAAACTTTTTTAACCTTTAGTTGTATCTGCAGCTGCTACAAACAATAAGTTTAAAAGCTATTATTTTCAAATATGTCTATGCATAATGCATTTGTAAAACTATTATTTCTATTATGTGTATGTCTTTCTTAAAAAAATGCAAGTAAAATTAAATTTTATTACAAATTTTTTTTACTTTAAGTTTCACAACCTTCTGCTGGTAAATTTATGATATAGAAATGTTTCCGAATAATTATTGAACTCGTAATATTTTTATTTATATACACTTTTTAATACATTTGTATTATGTTATCCCTAAAAGTGCCATAGAAGGAGAATCAATAGCAGTATATAAATTTTCATCGTATTAACATTAACATTATTAACATCGTATTAACATTATTAACATCTTATTAACATCGTATTAACATTAACATCGTATTAACATATTTGTGAAACTATCATTGTTTTATAAATTGTTTATTTAATTTATTCAGACAATTACTTTTACAGGTATTTGGTTTATATAAAATTTTACATAACGCCATTAGTATTAATCTTTCAGTACTTAAACAGGGTGGCCACTGGTCATGGAAATCATGGAATTTTATTTGGTCATAGAGTTTTCATTAAAAATCATGGAAAAATCATGGAACTTTTTAAAATGATCTTAATTTTTTTTTTACTTGTGATATTTTTAGGATGCAAGGAAAAGTACAATTATGTCTAGTCCTTTTTGAAAAAGATATTTTTGCAGTGTTTGTTATCAGAAAAGTAAAAGAAAAAGATTTTTTTTCAGACATGATTCCAGAACTTTCTAATAATTATTTTTTGGTTTGCATGTTTTATAATGACCAAGTTGCAAATGCTTAGTGCATGGTAAGTACTGAATATTTTATTCAAATGATTTATCATAAAAGTATATAAAGAGTCATGGAGATGTCATGGAAAAGTCATGGAATTTTATTTTCAAGTTTGAGCGGCCACCCTGTTAAACTTTCATTTATAGCTTACATATCAGGCCTATCGAAGATATAGGTCTTTATGACCTATCGAAGATATACCCACCAGCAACCGTTCATTTTTTCACCAGCAACCTTTCATTTTTTTTACCAGCAACCGTTCATTCACAGAGATGGTTTTTTTTTTTTTTTTTTTGTATGTATTTAAGTGCTCCCAGAAGTCCTTACGGTCTTATCATAGAGCACCGCGGGAGAGCATTTAACAGGAAGTTCACGCCTCCTTCCGTACCAATGTCGCTTGTTGGGCTAGCGCTGGCGTCGAACCTCGGACCTCTAGGTTCTGAGCCAGAACTCTAACCACTGCGCCACGGCTGCTCACGGCTGTTCTGGCTTACCTACACGTGGTGCCTATTGTTAAAAATGATTTAATTTTATTCATTAATGGAATTTAAAAATTAAATCATTCACTAAAAGCCAATACAAAAATTAATTAAATTTTATATTTCAAAAGTCTGTTGTTTTTGTGTTGTTGTTTTTTTAGGTTGGAGTGGGTAATTCATCCTTTTACATGACAAAATTGATACACAGACGCATCTTGTAATGTAATAAAATAGTTTTTTATACTATTTTCTCTCTGTTTAAAAAAGCATTTTAACAATTTTTGTAAAATTTTCATTAAATTTTTTTTTTAGGGGCGGAAGGGGGCGGCATACGCCCTCTTTCATAAAAGCAATTTATACACCAATAGTTAATATTTTTTTAAGTGTTGAAATATATTTTTTATTTTTTGTAATAAATTTAATCATTTTAGTAAAGATTGTAATATTTAAAAGAATGAAATTGTTATAGAGTGTGTTAAACTTTTACCACAACCCAACACCCAACTTTAAGATAGACCTGTAATATTTGCAAGTGGTGTGGAATAATAAAAAACAACTTGTTGTATATAAATATTACTAATTTCTTGAAAAAAACACACTATTATGAAAAAATAGTGTAATTTTGTGAGGTGTAGGTGGTGGATTAGCACCCCCTCTGGATCCCTCAATGCGCCCTTTACCTATAAACTAGATTGAAATTATAGTCCATTATTACATCTATCTTTTGATACCAAGTTATAGATATTTGAATAAGAATTTGCAAAGTTATAACAATTTATGTGAAAAAAAAATTTTTTTTGACCACAGTTTTATCAAGAAATCCATATATCGAAAATTTGCTACTAAAAACGCTATAACTTTTTATAGAATAGTCCGATTTTCATAATTTTTTCACCTTTAATTTGTTTTTTACTGTATTCACTTTACTGTATTTGAGGGTTTTCTAATAATAATATATAATATTATAGTATTTGATCAGTTTAAAAAAATCAGTCCACGTACCTTTATATATATATATATATATATATATATATATATATATATATATATATATATATATATATATATATATATATATATATATATATATATATATATATATATATATATATACATACGTCTAATTCGAAAATCTATATTTGAGACAAAAAGAGTACTGCAAAATAAATCTATTACAAATTAGTCGGAGCAACCATTGACCGATTCCAAATCGGAAGTCCTAGAAAGAGGTCTAAAATGGATCAGATTTTTCTCAATTAAAATGCCGAATTTTTAGGACTAACCTAAACGTTTTTGGTGAAAATCAGAAAAAATATCAATGGCACAAGGTTTTTACTGATTATTCAATAAATTACAATATGCAATCATTTAACCATATGCCATTCCAAAAAAAAAATCATATCATAATCATTTATATCAATATAAAAAATACAAACTAATTATTACTATTAAATATAGAAATGTTTCAAAACGAAGCAAGTTAAATTGAGTATTTGAAAAAGCAAAATGCATATATAAACTAAAAGCAAAAAAGCTAAATTTATGTTATAACAAACGCTAAGTCCTTGAATCAACGGATGATTCAATGTCATCAAATGGATGTTGGAACGATTTTGGCAATTTTTCAAATGAAGTATCAATCAGATCCATTGCAATAAATTTTCCACTTTCCATTACTTCAATTCTTTCTTCAGTGTCACCAAACAGAATATGTGAATGAGGTTCAATAAAAGTTTTGCTGCTTCTAAATACTGAGTCATTTTTATTTAGTCTGTTACTATTTTTCTTTTCAATTATTTGTAAGGGGCTTTTAAAATCATTATCTTTTCCATCAACAACTTTATGCTCTAATTGATCATCCGAAAAAATATGATGAATTGAAGCTAAATTATTGCTGGAGGGTGGAGTTATTAAATATTGCACGTTAACATTATGCAAAATATCTTGCATGCTCTGTTGCTGATCTTCTGAAAGCTGAAGTGTAAACGAAGGATTTGGCGGAGAGTTCACAAGAAGTTTATCTAGCTGCGTATTATTAATCAAATGGTGAATATCATTGATTTGCAAATCTCTATTATCTTTTAATATTTGCAAAGTATCATCTTTGATATCAACTTTAGAATTTCCGCAGGGTAATTGTAAAACAATAACAACTTCATTATTTGAAACATCACTTTTATTTTTAGAAGAATCATTTTGTAAATAATGAGATTGTTGTATGATGTGATTATCAAGATCATTTTTAGAAAAAAACTTAAGGTGGCAACAAAAACATTCATAAAGAAGACCAGAATCATGTTGTGGCACATGCAACTCTAAATCAACTTGCGATTTAAATACACGCATGCAAAAACCACAACGAAAATTTTTATTCATTTCTTTTAAGTCATGCATAGAAATATGCTTAGCCAGTAAATCTTTAGTTTTGAACATTTCTTCACATATCCCACATTTAAAACTAGAATTTGGAATAAAATGTTTAACATAGTGTTTTCTGCAAGCAGATTTAGTTTTAAAAGTCTTTTCACATTCTTTGCAAATAAAAGGTTTTTCGCAAAAATGTGTCAGAAAATGTCTTCTTAGAGTTGTTTTATCACTAAAAGATTTACCACAGTTTTCAATATCACAATGAAAAGGTCTTTCTCCATTATGTATATACATATGCTGAGTTAATCCAGCTTTTCTTGTAAACTTTTTTTTACAAATTTCACATTCAAATGGTCTTATTCCAGTATGAACTAAGTTATGTCTAACTAAATGATGAGAAAGGATAAAAGCAGCACCACATATGAGACAAACATGTCTGCGCTCATTTGTGTGTGTTTGTAAATGTTTCTCTAGGTGAGCCATCCTGGTAAATGTTTTATTACAGGTACTACATAGATAATTTTTTTCACTAGGATGATTAGCAACATGTCTATCATATCTTGTCTTCTGTTTGAATTGTCGATTACATTTATCACAAACATGAGTTTTACAATAACCTAGAAAAAACAAAAACAAAAACAAAAAAAAAAACAAACAAAAAAAAACATTGATTTTAGTAGATATGAATAGATAATATAAGAAAATGACTAAAACTTTAATGTTAAATTTGTGTTTAATATAAAGGTTAATTGTAATATTACCCTCTATATTAAACAAAAGAAGTACTCTCTGGTGGTTAATACAAAGTAGGGGAAAGATCTTATAAACAAAAAAGGGAGAATTTAAATCCATATCTAATAAACGGGAGATGGCCTTTGTTTAAAATATAAAAAGAGTGGTAGGTGGGGGAGGAGGATGTTACAGAACACAAATAAACAATTTAATTCTAGCATAGCTAGCGGTCCAATGTGAATTTTTTAACTGCTGTTTCCAGGGATGGGGAGTCCCAAATGAACTCTTGCCTTTGGTGTCCGTAAGTTCTAAACATATTGATTTACTTATGATCTACTATAAGAAAAAAATTGATATTTAATGACTTAGAACTTATTGTTTTTAGGCCTGGATAATGGACCTTGCTGCCATTATACTTAAGGACTCCAGGTTCAAAAAATGATAACAAGTAAAAATTAATAAACAGTAGGGTCTAAAAAAGCATGGAGTGAGCGAGAAAAATTCTAAAAAATAATTAACATCCCCTCCTTAAGCACCTAAGAGTAAATATTTTCCAAATCAATATAATTCTGATAAAAACAGCAAAACTTTAAAATAATTTATTACTTTAATACAAAATAATTTATAATTAAAAATAATTTCGAAAAATAAAAAACGCAATTTGTCTAACTCAAATGTTAAAACATTAAATAACTTAACAGATGAACAGAAGTTTAACAACAAAATCTGATTTGTAAAATAAAATACTTGACAACACTTTCTTAATACACTTATTATTTAATTCTATATAATAAAAAAAGAAAAAAGCCTTAATTAAAAACTCCCACATTCTCTTGAATTTAAAATTAAAAAAAAAATTTAATTTGTAATTTTACATAAAAGACTAAATTCATCTTAAATAAATCTGCTTCCAATTATACTAAAAATTTCATTTTATTTTTTATTCAGTTGAATTTTCTCTAAATAAATTTTTTTTAGTTACTGATTTTATTTTAGTAATTTTTATTCTGGTTTGTGGAAAACAAACAAAACATTCTAAAAGAATCATTGAAAATCATTCTAAAACGTAAAGGATTATTCTAGGTCTAGATCTAACTAAATAACAATCATTTTAACGCATAAGAACTACAATTAGGCAAAGCTGAATGTTACTACCATCTTTAAGTAGCTGATACCATTTCCTTAAATTTCTTGGCCTTCAGAAACTGCTAACACCTCGGCTAGCATTTTGAAATTTTGATATCGATTGTACTAACTTTAACTTTAAAGTTTGCTTTCAAATAATTTAATGTGATAAAAACTTGCTTTTAGTTTGCAAAATAAAATTATAATTCACTTTGAATGTAATATGCCTTTTACATATTAAAATATATTTTATATTATAATTTAGTAAACCAATAGACTTAGGTAAAATATAAAGTTATTAAATGCATACTTAGTCTGAAATTAGGATACTGATCATTATAGACTGCTGATTCAGGAGTCTGGCGCATTGCGGATTATTTAAACATTTTAAAGACACTGCTAAAAGAAAATATTGTTATAATATTTCTATAGTAACTTTCTTAGTTTTATAAAAAATTATAAAAAGTGAAGTATAGAAATTCATTTTAAATGTAATTTATTTTGCTTTAAATAAGTTTTTTTTTTCCTGTTAAGAATTCTTTTTTTTAGGTTAAATTGTTTTTGTAATTGTCACTTGTAAGTCATGCTTTTTATTGGTTAGTAGCATTAAAAAATAAAATAAAAAAAATTGATGCAATAAAGTTAAATAAAAATCTCTCGATTACTGCACCTTATATAATTGCTTTCATATTCATAGATCATCCAGGTCATATTTTAAAAATCCGAAAAATCAATTGGGTAAAATTCCGGAAAAAATCGGGAATATATTTTCCCTTATATTCGATTTAATTTTACTTTCAGCTAAGTTGCTTTTAATTTTTTTTTAACTTTTCTTAATTTTTGTGTGAGTGATGAGTGAAAAAGCCTAAAAAAAAATACATTACAAAAATATATTCCTAAACTTGTATGTATGGAAAACATTTTTGATATCCGGAAAAACTAAAAGTTGAGAAAAATCTCCGGAGTTCCAGAAATCTCCGGAAAAAGATGATCCCTGCATATTTAAGAGAAATGAAAAAAAAAAATTAATTTATTATTTATTATCCATTTATATATGTATTATAAAGTATAGATTACTACAGATGAAGTTATATTTTTTCAATTATCTAAGTACAACATCTGTGCAACTACATCTGAAGAACTTACAGATGTACATACATCTTTTCAATTACATGAAGAATTACTACATCTGTACAACTATATCTGTGAAGTCTACAGATGTAGTTACACCTTTTCAATTATATTAAACATAACTACAAGATTTTCTAAAATTATTAGAAATGATTAAAAATTATAATGCATTATATATTTTCTGAAATTATTAGAAATTTTTTAAAATTATAATGCCTTATATTAACCAGATGTTACATATTGTTGGTAAACAAGGGAAATGCAATTAGTCCAAAAACATTTTGAGATAATGAACAAATATACTTTTGTGATAAGTTAAAAAAATACGTTTTTGTGTAATAGTTGAAATAAAAATCTTAGTAACTCATTGATTTATTAAATTTGTGGTATATCAAACTTTATTATTGATTGATTTATTAAATTTGTGGTATATCAAACTTTACTATTGATTGATTTATTAAACTTGTGGTATACCAAATGATAGAGAATTTAAAATACTAAATAGTAATATAAATAACTTTGTACTGCCAAAAATGGACTTGGTGCATTTTATACCGATGATATATGTTTTTTTTGATTTAGTTACATCTGGAAAAAAATATTAGATAATGCATTATTTTACCCAGGTATAGTTTCATATACGGTTTTTCAGATGTTCTTACATCTGGAGGAAATTCTTCCAGATGCACAGTGGGCCAGTGACTGGACAAAAGTATAAAAACCAAAGTCAAAATTTTGAAGTCATAATGGTTTTAAACCTTTTTATAGATATTATGAAACAACTTAAAACCTTTTATATAGACCTAAAATTTTGATGAATAGACTAATTATGTGGTTAAAGTATATGCAAACGTAAATTAGAAAAAAAATATTATAAAGCAAAAAATGTTGTTTACAAAATCTATGGTAATAATGTAACACTGTATTAAACATTAAACATTAATAATTATTTTATTGTTAAACTATCTATTATCTGCATTTTAAGAGTTGTTAGATTAAATTAGGTAAGAAAACAAATAAGTTATAATAATTTTAAATACTTCATTAAAAGAAAATTTGAAGTGAATTTTTTGGTTTAAAAAATACCAAAAAAAAGAAGATCTAGTAGTATCCTGTTATATTATACACATATTTTGAAGCTTTTATATACATATTATGAAAATATGTTTAATTTAGCTGCTAATATTTGCTAAATTAATTTTTATTTGCAATTATTTGCAAAAATATTGTATATAAAATATAGCATCGCGAACACAATAATATAGTATGTTATAACATAATGAATATTTTGATTCCAAAATAAGACTATTTAATTATAGTTAATATTATAATAACTAAAAGAAAATATTTCTACATAAAATAAATGAAAACCTATTGATAAATTGTTTTATTTTTAACTTTAGACTATTGTTATTATGTCAAGCATTAGTAGAAATCAAATCCATTTATTTATAAGAGAAAACAAATTATCATTATTAAATGAAAAAGATAAACTGTTAGTTTTCAATTTTATTGGTGAACAACTTAGCAATACTAAATGTAAGATTCAATTTTCAAAATTTACTTTTGAATACAGAAAGCAATGGGCTGCAAGTGGACGTTACAATGATATTTTTTTGGATAAAAATTTAGCCTGGCTTTGCTAATTCATTATTATTCCCAAAAAAAAATTTTCTTTATGCAATACAGAAACTACACCTAAATTATCTCTTGGCAGGCTTTGTAAATCATTTGAAGAATCATTTGATAAATCTAAAAAGAGGAAAGTGTCAAAAGTTGAATCATTGGCAAGTTCTTCAAATGAGCTGTTGTTTGCTAGCAGTTTGGAAACAAGGAAGGAGAAAGAATGCTAAGGTAGTTAGAAATTTATCAAAAACTCAAACTGATGAACATGTTCATAATACTCCCAATGAAGCCTTTGCACTTATCTTAGATAATAATCTGAGCAAGTCTGATTATCAGCGCCTAAGGAACAATGCTGTAACAAAAGGCTGTAATTTATATCCGCTTATAATAATGAACAGGAAGCAAAAGTACTTTGTCTTCCAGAGAATAATTTATGAACTGTCACTGACTATTCTGCAGAGGTCAACATGCAAGCATTGGTCAATTATACAGCACTACGTTTAATAGAATGTCAGGCGGAAGTTATTAACTCCTTAGAAGAAATTCAACGAATAACCCTAAGGTCCAAAGTTGGCTTTGATGGATCAACTGGCCAAAGCCTTTATACTCAAATAACAACAGAGGAAGAAAACAAAAATATTACAAATGAAGCCAGCTTATTCCTCACTTGCTTTTTGCCTTTGCAGTTATCTAGATATTGTAATGGCGAAAAAAAGAATATTTGGTTCAACCCTCATCCATCATCCACTTTATTTTGCAGACCAATAAGATTCTCCTATAAAAAAGAAACATCAGATGTATTAAAAGTTGAAGAACATTTCCTTTACAACTCAATAGAAAAATTATTTACTACAAAGTATGACAGATCAACAGTTCTGCACAAAATTGAAATTACAATGGTGGATTGAAAAGTTGCCACAGCACTATCCACAGCAACAAAATCATTGCAATGCTGCTCAGTTTGTGGTTGCAATCCAAAAAAAAAAAAATGAATGACTTAAATACTGCAAAAAATCTCCCAATAATTAAAACTAGACTTAATTATGGGCTTTCAACTCTCCATGCATGGATTAGAACAATGGAATGTCTTCTTAAAATAAGCTACAAATTAACAATACAGAAATGGTCAACACGAGAACCATCAGTAAAATTAAAAATTCAAGATATAAAGACATCAATTCAAAAGAAATTTCATGATGAAGTTGGGCTTTTAATTGATTTTCCAAGGACTTGTGGTTCAGGATCTTCAAACGCTGGCAATACTGTTCGACGATTTTTTTAAAATGCAGAGAAGACTGCTGAAATTTTCCAACTCCATGTCACCATCATTAATTGCATGTTATTTTGTGCACTTTATCGTCACAATATGTTATTGATTCTTTTCGATTTAGAGACTTCTGCATTTAAACAGCTTAACAATATGTGAACCAGTATCCATGGTACCACATGCTACAGAGCCTGCACAAAATTCTTATTCATGGTTGGCAAGTTGTGGATCAAATGACTTTGTCAATTGGCATGCTCAGTAAGGAGGCATAAGAAGCATGTAACAAGGGCTTCAAGAAGTTCTGAGAGTCTTTTTCAAGTGCTCTCATTCTAAAACAAATGAAGATTTGTTAAGGAGATTGATGTGTTCATCTGATATAATTATTAGTAATTTGAGAACACCACATCATCAAAAAAAGAAAGATTTTCCAGATGGAGTGCTAAAGCTACTAAAAGAAGTACCACTTAAAGATTTTGTGTAAATATATTATATTATAACATTTTTACTGCAATGTTACTTGAATAATGTTTCTCTTTTCATTTTTTCAGCTTATCTGTTTACTATATGTTTATTGCTACAAATTAACAATGTTATAACGACATTTAGTTTACCCTATTGTAACTAAGGATATTGTAACTAAGCAATATAAGTATCCATAGCAACAAAATAAAAAAATAGCACCTTCATAAAAAACGCAGACAACATATTATTTCTCATGCTAATTTTAGTAAATATAGCACTCGTGAAATATCTGGAAATACCAAAATAGGTTGTTGCTAAGCAAAATAAAGGTATCCATAGCAACATAATAAAAAAAAATAGCACCTTCATAAAAAGGGCAGACATCATATTAGTACTCATGCTAATTTTAGTGATTATAGTTCTAATATTAAATTAGTTATGAATTTTGTCCAGTAAAAGTGAATTCTGGCCCACTGTGAGTTGTTATTAAACTTGGAGAAAAATTACCAGATGTAGTAACATCTTCCTAAAGATGTTGTTAGGGGTCATAGAGTTTCCAGACGATATAGGACAGATGCTGTTAGAATAGATGACAGATGTTGTTGGACAGATGTAGTAATCTTTTACCTATGAATATGCTAAAAAATCAACAGATCAAAAAAAAAAGTTTGTAACATCACAATTACTTAAAATCCAATATCTTAACTAATAAAAAGTTTTAAACAACCTACTTTTTTCTAGATCTTCAGCCTTGTATTTAAATAAACTTTCATGCTGCATTTCATTTCTATATCATCATAAACAAAATTTGAACAGAATCTATGGGCAATAAATATTTTAAAGATATATTTAAAAAAAAAATTACATTAGGTTTTTTTATTTATGCAAACATTTATAAAACAAAATTATTCAATGAAGTTATTATTCAACAATAAAAAAAATAATATATATATATATATATATATATATATATATATATATATATATATATATATATATATATATATATTAGGGTGTGACATCCGCCCCCTATATTCTAAAAAAGATCTGTTCATATTCTTAAAACCTTCTATTGGTTCTCACAAGCAACTTTATTAAATTTTTTCAAATTTTTATTGAATTTATGAAGAGCACCAGACCCTTGAACACTAACCATATCCCTAATATTATTTTAAAAAAGTTTTTCAAAAGTATGTCATGTTGGGTCTCAAAAGAAGCGAAATTATATAAAAATAACAATCATTTTATAAAAAAGTTATTTTTTTGTTTTTTGCAAAAAATGGAGTTTTTTGCAAAAAAAGGAGTTTTTTTTGCAAAAAATGCCCTTTTTAACCTAAAAATGAAAAAAGTGTACTTTTTTGATAATTATTAAAAAAAAAAATTTTAACTAATTTTTTTATAAAATGATTATTATTTTAAAATTTTTTATATAATTTTGCTTCTTTTGAGACCCAACATGACATACTTTTGAAAAACTTTTTTTTTATATAATATTAGGGACCTTGTAAGTGTTCAAGGGTCTGATGCTCCCCCTAAGTCTGATAAAAATTTGAAAAAATTTAATAAAGTTGCTTGTGAGAACCAATAGAAGGTTTTAAGAATATGAACAGATCTTTTTTAGAATATAGGGGGTGGATGTCACACTATATATATATATATATATATATATATATATATATATATATATATATATATATATATACACATATATATATACACAAACACACACATATATATCCAGGAGTTGAAATAGGTATCCACTAGAGGAGGGCAATTGATCATTGTTCATTTTGCCAGTAAAATGAAGAATGGAAGAATGGTTAGTTGCCTTCCTCAGACAGGTCTCAAAAATAGTCCCGAGGGTGCTGGCACTTATATTGACCTATGTTTATATATATTTCTCTCTCTCTCTCTCTCTCTCTCTCTCTCTCTATATATATATATATATATATATATATATATATATATATATATATATATATATACACACACATATACATATATATATGTATATATATAGTGGCGGACTGGCTGTATATATATTACCAGCCATGAAAATAGTTAAAAGGCCCTCTAGACCATACATATATATTGCAGTCTGCATTTTTCTGAAAATGAGTCTTATAAAGGAACAATTAAACCACAGATTAATAAAATTGTATTGAATTAAAAAGTACAAGTGATGTGCAATTTGCACAGTGCAAAGTATAGAAAAAACTATTTTTTTAATAGTTTGCTTAATTCTGATGACGAAGATGCATATCTTTGAATGATCGTATCATACTCAAGGTTATCAAGTAGACTTTTTTTCTACAGAAATCAACATATGCGACTCTAAACTATCGTTGGACATTTTTTGCAATTTTGTCTTGATTAACTTTAACTTAGAAAACGGTCTTTCACATTCAGCTTGTGTTACAGAAATGGTACATATTATTCTATAAATATGATACAAATTGTCATAGGTTTTGTTGTTGAGTCTATATGCAGTAAGATTTTGTAACACACAAGATGGACATGATTCACATGCTCCATTAGTATCCTGATAACAGCGCCGTTCTTCTACGTCATCTTTTTGATCTGCATTCTCTCTCAATGTTGTCATTAAGGGCAAGGACAATTTTAAAATCTCATAGTGACAAATGACAACAGTTCGGCCCTTATTTTATCAACGTTGGCATCTGGTAAAAATTTGATAATGTTATGTAAACTGTTTTCAGGAATTCCCCAAATAGCAAGATCACCAAATTTGATGTATCAAAACATGCCATGTCCATATATAATTGTTGATGTGAAGTGAAACGTGACTCAGGACTAAGGACTACCTGATCCATCACCGCATTGTAAGTGTGAATTCTGTAGTGTCCCAAAGTGTAGATTCCTCATGTTTGTCAACTGTATGTTCATTTAACATCATTGGTGTCTTCTGCTTCCGTTTAACTGGTAGTTCTATCTTCACCTCTAATATGGTTTTAGTTCTCTGGATGATGCTTGCGTTTGCCATCCGTACAAATTGAAGAGCGCTATTATGAACATTATCAAAAAATCTTAATTGACTTTTCAATTCAATTGCAGCCTTCTCCACCAACTTAAATGCAACCAACATATTTAATCCACAAGTTTGCAGATATATTGAAAGTAATCCCACTTTTTCAAAAACTTGCAGGTAGGTAAAGGCAGTCAAAAAGGTAGGTAAAGGCAGTCAAAAAGGTAGGTAAAGGCAGTCAAAAAGGTAGGTAAAGGCAGTCAAAAAGGTGTCATATTTCAGGAATGGCATGAGCAATGTCTTAGCTTCATGACATGTCTTTGGATCAAAATTTTCTGATTTACTTATACATGACAGACATAAAATTAAATTGACAAATACTGTTGAAAATTGCTCAGCAAATAATCCAAATATCGCCGTTGCAGCATTTGATTTATCCAACCACTTAGTTTCACCAATAAATTTCAATCTTTTCATCTTATCCATTCCAATTTGTGTATCAACAAGTTTAATCCATGTTGCCATTCACTTATATGACACTTGCAAAAGGTTAAAAAATGAAACTACCTGAATGAAGCAACTAATTGCCTTCACAACTAAGTTGAGAACATGAGCATAACACCAAATATGTACATGGTGGTCTGCAGCTTCTGTAATCATTTGTTGCAATCCGTTGTACTGGACATGATAACTTGAAGCACCACCAGTGCTGTCCAAGAGGCAGTATTGCAAATTAAAGCCAAGCCGCTGTAGCATAAAATTTAAGAATTGAACAAGCCTTGGCCAGTACCGTCGCTGCTTGGTACAATAGAAAGCAGCAGTTCATGCACAGTAGCATCTAAAACATAGCAAACCACAATGCCAAATTGGTCTACAGTAATTCTTGTTATCAAACGGCAAATGTTCATGTGGTTGAATAGGATGTTTGCTAAAAAAACATTTTAACTACAAACATGGTGGATATTCTAATGCTGATGTACTATGTGAATTCGACTCAATATCTCCACCACCTCGTGCTGGTATTATTGCTGATGTTCTCTGCAAATTTGACTCAATATCTCCACCACCTCAAGCTTGTATTATTGCTGATATACTCAGCAATAATACAAGCTTAAGGTGGTGGAGATATTGTTTTTATTATCTCTGATGTAGTTTGTAAATTCGACTCAATATTGCCTTGACATTGTGGTTGTACTGAAAAAAATGATGTGAATAATTGCACTTTTTTGAAGAAACTTCTATCTTTGTCTGTAGTTTTTCTTTGCACTTTTGCGCTCCAGATTTTGACATAATTATAATGACCTGAGTAAAGTGTATAACATTTAAAAAATAAAGCAAAAATAAAGATCATATTCTTCTAGAAAAAATGATATTTAGATTTCCCAAAATAAATTTTGTCCCATCAAATTTGTTTGAACGACAAAAATTGCATATCAAACTTTATATTAAAACTCAAATAAAGACAGGCCACTAATGACAGAGTTTCTGTAAAAAAAGGAAGAAGGGGGGGGGGGGGGAAGGAGGCAATGATTAAATATTTAATTCATTTTTTAATTAATTAATTCAAGCACCACAATTGCAATAATAGTTACAAAGTCACTTCCCTTAAGAAAATCATTGCTTATACTTGTATTAGATAATCATTAACAAATGCAAAACCTTAGCAATTCCCTTATGACAATTATATATAAAACTCTCCTCTGTCAATCAATAATGATTGTAAAAATTTTACAATCATCATTGATTGTCAAAGGAAAGTTTTACATAAAAATAGTTTTACAGCAAAACTATTTTTATAAAAGAGAGTTTTACATAAAAATAATTTTACAGTAAAACTATTTCTTTAGAGAATTTTGCACTTAATAGAGTTGAATAGTATATACAAGAAATTACAAATAGTTCAACTTTATAATCAATTGTAATAATTATATATATATATATATATATATATATATATATATATATATATATATATATATATATATATATATATATATATATATATATATATATATATATATATATTTAATTATCTTCGCTTTCAACAAGGCTGCAAGCAACCACTAATTAGTGTTGGAAGTTACTGGAAGAGAAAAGATAAAGATTGTAGAGCAAGATAACAATTGACAGATGACTTAAAAGATTACAAATTAGATGAATCAAGAAAGCAAGATGAAGGAAGCGAATTCCAAAGAACTAAAGTTTGAGGAAAAAAACTAGACGAATAAGAGTTTTTGGAGCACTTAGGAACAGTAACAGAAAAAGGATGAGACTTTATTGAATTACGAGTAACACGAGAATGAATTTTAGTAGATGGCACAAGAGATGCTAGCTCTTTCGAGCAGCGCCCATTATAGTATTTGTAGAAAAGAGAAAGTGACGAGCTCGATAAAGAGAAGCAACTTTAGCAGATGCTAGTTTTGCAATGGATTTGATATAAGGTTTCCAAGAAAGATCAGAAGTAAGAGTTAATCCTAGAAGATGAAGGGTAGGAGACTCATCGAGTACATTACCGTTCATAAATATAGGAAGGTCTAAATTATTGCGATAACGATTGGCTGAAAAAAAATCGAGTTTTATCTGAATTAAAGTTCACCAGCCACTGTGAGCCCCATGCTGTAGCAGAAGTGAGATCCTTTTCAAGCTCAGATAATCCCTGCAAGCAATCAGAGGGAGTTGGCTTCTTATCGTGACAAGAATAAATGGTAGTATCATCAGCGAACAATGCCACCTTAGATGTAAGAATATCTGGAAGATCGTTAATGTAAATTAAAAAGAGTATAGGGCCAAGGATTGAACCTTGGGGAACCCCTGAGGTTACAGAATAAGAAGAAGAGTGCTGTCCATCAAGGACAGCTTTTATACTACGATTGGAAAGTAAGGATTCAATAATCTTAAAGATGTTTCCAGATACACCGTAAGAAGAAAGCTTATGGAGGACACCAGCATGCCAAACTTTATCAAATGCTTTAGAAATGTCAAGCCTCTCTACTTTTATCTAATGTGCGATAAAACCTATCGGTTATTGGGTCAAATCATTATATTTCAACCAATGGCCTGTGGGGCACCATCTCTGATTTCCCTGATTTTTACATATAATTATCTACATTATGATATATAGGTTAAATTTGAAATTTCAGACTTCCAAGTGCAACGGTTAAGAAAATATAGCTCCATAAACACTGCTTCGAAAAAACACTTCGAAAAAAATTTGAAAAATGCTAAAAAAGGCCAAAATGAAACTAACTGTAGTACTTTTCTATTCTGCAACAAGTCCCTACAGTTTTGTTTTCTGATTAGTTAATCTTATCTACAACAAACAGGCAAAAAATAAGCCGCTTGTTGCAGTTTAGAACTGAAGTACATCTAAAAATGTATTGTCCATTTGCCAAAAAAGTCCCATTTTCAGTCATTTTAAAATGCTCGTAATTTTTTCTAACACTTTGTATTGATCTAAGCTTAACAGCAATAAAGACCATAAGATCCAAATATCTGAAAATGTAATCATTTTTTACTTGTTGCATTCACATCAAAAATGGCAGCATTTTAAAATAGACCTACTTTTTAATTATCTAGGGTTGAATGCATTATTTGAAACCAGTGCCCATCCCCCCCAACCTGCCTAATAGCATATTCAATCGGTGCAACTGATTATAAATTGTTTCTTAAAAAAATAAAAGATATGGTTGATTGCCCCCATGCTGATCTATTTTTTAACCTGGGTAGGGGCACAAATAAAGGGCTAATAATTAGTTAAAACCCAGTATTATTGTTAAATAGTGATACTTTAAATATTGTTTACACAATTAAGGAGTGTTTTATCTCAAAGTCAAAGACCTATGATTTTTTACAAAATAATGTTGAACATCTTTTAATAAGACTTTCATAATATATCAATGTAATATTCATGATACATCAGGGTGCTTAAAAAATATAATAACTTTTATAAAAGAAATAAATAATGATCAATAAAGGAAAAAGTCGAAGCTTGTTAGAAACCACTTTTATTATAAGGTTTGGTTTTTACTTTTTAATTGATAATTAGTTGCTAATTCAAAACAATTAATGCAGTATAATTTATTTAATCTTGTTTTTTATTAAATAGGAGTAAAATCCTCTTGTGTTTTGGAGCTCAGGCTCATGTAATGTGGCAATAATGTCATTAACTGGATACCAATGGATATCTGGTGTTTTTGGATATTTGAAATAATTGCCAGCTTTATGTAAACAGCTGACAGATATGTAGTCATCTTTAACATCTATCACCTTTCCAGGAAAAAATTCACCAAAATAATGCGCTAATACCCAATCAACAATATTGATGTCAACAGTTTTGTGTATTAATGCAAGTATCTTCCAGCATGTGAAAAATGTCAAATGTTGTGCTCATTGATGTTACATAAGCTTTTAAACAACACGATAAAGGTGAAAAACAATGATATGAGCGGGTTCCTTTGATAGCAGGAACATTCTCAAATCGTTTAGCAAGAACTTCATGAGTGTTAACAGCTGTTTCGTTTTCAGAAATATAGAGAAATCTAAGAATAAATATTAACATAAATCTTATAATCCAAGAACATAATTTTAAAAATATATTTAGTAAGCTCTTATTTTAAAGTTTATAATTTTCCTTATAAAAAACTTATACCAAAAAGTTCAAAATTTGTTTTATTAGGATTGACATCCATAACTTGAAAAAAAATCATAACCAAAATCTATGTGCATTTAGACAACAAAGTGCTATACCTGATGTTTTTAAAACTTTCTTTAGCAACTAAAAACATGTCCTTTGGTGTCAAAATTTGATTTCCAATTGGCCTTTGGAGGGACAGCTTGTTAATTACTCTTTTCAGTGTACCACCTACTCAGTCACATGCACTTTTTCCATGTGCAGTGCCAAAAAAATGCCAATCTGCTTTCAGTCTGAAGTCTTTTTCATGAAAGCAAAGGTTTTTCAAATTAAACCTATTATAAATTAAGAAAAATTATATTCATAAAGTGAAATCAATAAATTTAATAAAAAAACAATATCCTAATTATTCTATAGCAAATTTGAAAAATATCATTCCAATAGCTGAATTTGGTTTGTTTAGAATTGGTTAATCAGAATTTTTTGAATGATGTGAACTAAAAATTAACCTACCTATTTTTATACTGGCTGCCTGCACCATCAGTGAAATAATGAATCTTTTGAATATTTGGATATTCTTCTTTCAGAATAAATACGAATTTTGAAACATAAGTGAAGACTGCCTCAGTATTGTGAATCAGATTTTCTGATATAATGCAATAACATTTGCTTTCTAGGGTCAGGTTTCCATTTAAAGATCTCATATATATAATAAATGGATGAAGAGTTGCCTGATTTTTAGAAAAATATGATGCCTGAATTTCATCCTGTATGACAAATGACAAATTTTCAGCAAAATCCATTTGTATAATACATTCATTTGCTTTCAGGTTTTCTTTTAACTGTTTTAAAAAGTATGTCTGAGATTTGCTGACATAATAATATTTTGTGAGTTCATATAAGTTGTTTGTTAACTCTTCAAGAAACTCATCAAGGTTTTTAACTATTGTTTCTAAGGAGTATCTATCAGTTTTCAACAATTGTTTATAAGTTATTTCATTTGCTGAATCGCCAACCAGATCATTAAACTTTTTCAATTCTTTCTTTTCCGGGACAGTTTTTACACTCGTGAAACATAATTCTTTATTTTCTAATGAGCATACAGCTAAAGCCATCAGTTCTTTTAACTTTAATTCATTTTTAAATGCTTTTACCATTAGATTTGGATTTTGATGGTGGATACAAACACAGACGGTATGGGTGCCAGATTTTCCAGCAAGTACACAGTGTTTTGGCCTTAAAAGAGCAAATGATGTTAATCCCACCTTAAACATATCATTAGAATTTGATTCTTCTATCCATTTTTGATATAGTTCTGAAAGATTACATAATATGAGTCTCTTCTGAATGTGCTTTCTGCCTTCAACTGTTTTTATGCTAATATAATCCTTTGCACCTGGCAATAATCTGCTATTACTATCATCTTTATAAAAGTTGACAATTTGATTTATAACTTCGGAAGTCAATTTTTTTGGATTTCTTATGTCAGTTGATCTTTCACCAAGGATTCCTTTATTGTCCTGCAAAGCTCTTGCTTACTTTACCATATATTGTGTTGTTTTAAATTCATTTATTGTTTCCTGAATGGTCCAATGGACAGGAACTAAGGTGAGTAATTTTATTTTCTTTGAAATACTATTCTCATTATGAAACTTTTGTTTTAGCTGTTCTACTAGATAATCTAAAAGGAGATTTTAAGCGTAGCAATTTGTAACGCTTCTTCTTCAAATGAATTCAAAGACTCATTTAACACCTTAACTTTTTTTTTTATTTGTCATATTGTAACATGCTCATGCTTAATGATCTTTTAATTGGCAAAAAACCAAATTTTATAAGACAAGGATTTAGGTTATCAACTTGTAAAACAGAGTTATCAGGTAATACATAATCTGGATCTTTTCTCGCCTCAACTGCTTCAACATTCTTGAGTTTTCTAACGCAACTAAAACATATTTTTTCCCCAGGAATTAAAGCAGAGTTAAGTTAATTATGCTCCAAAGTGACAGTTGTCAGATTTCCTTTAACAATCTTTGAATGAATTAAGAAAGGGTCACAGCATGACTTATGAAATGTTGGATAGTATTTAATAAATTGTAGACTATGATGAGTACTAATTGTATGCAGATTATTGTTTTTTATTCCAGTTCTTAAGGTCAGCAAGTATTTTTCCTCATTTAACATTTCCAAAATTTCAGACTGACCACAGAATGTATTTTTATGACAATCTAACTTTAGTTCAATCCCAATAGAACAAGAACTCATTATTTTCTTTACTATAAAAAATTGAATCGAATTGAACTATTATAGAACCTACTATATAAGTTTATAACTGCAACAAGTTTATAAATACAATATATATATACATATATATATACATATATATATATATATATATATATATATATATATATATATATATATATATATATATATATATATATATATATATATATATATATATATATTATATGTACGTATGTATATATATATATATATATATATATATATATATATATATATATATATATATATATATATATATATATACATTATATATATTATATATTATATATATATAAAAAAATATATATACTACTGTGATCAAAAAGTAAGGTGAATTTTTAATTTAAACTTCCCGCCTTATTCAAATCGTCCAATCTTTTTTATCTTTAAGTTGGTAGGAATGTCATTAACATTTGCGCCAAATTACATGTCGAACTCATAATTATTTTTTTTTTGTTTACGCTTGTTTCTGAAGTACCAAAAGTGCATTCGGCGATTTTCACGATGTCTAATTTTGTTGAGCAAAGAAGTGCTATTAAATTTTGTCTGCGGAATGATATTTCTGCTGCTGAAACGTATCGAATGTTGCAAAAGGCCTTCGGTGAAGAGACTATGTCTCAAAAAAATGTTTACAAGTGGTACAAAGACTTCAAAGAAGGCCGAGAACGTGTTGATGACTTGGAACGCTCTGGACGACCATCGACTTCGATCGATGATCGCCACATCAACAAAATCAAAGAATTGGTGCTTGCAAATCGTCAGTTAACCATTCGAGACCTTGTTGACATGGTTGGAATATCATTTGGGTCGGTGCAAGCGATTTTGAAGGATCATTTGGGCCTCAGAAGACTCAAATCACGTTTGGTGCCGAAATTTCTCCATTTCTTTGAAAAAGAGCGTCGCGTTAAAGCGTGTGAAGCAATGCTTTCTGACTATCAAGACGTCTACAAACAAATTATTACTGGCGATGAGACTTGGGTCTACGCATACGACCCTGAAACAACCGACCAATCAAGTGAATACCGTGAAAAAGGCGAGCCGAGACCGAAGCAACCACGTCAAAGTCGCTCAAAAATCAAAGTCATGTTGACTGTTTTCTTTGATTATTGTGGTGCCGTGCACTACGAATTCTTTCCAACTGGCCAAACTGCCAACAAGGAATATTATTTAAGCGTTATGCAACGTTTGCATGAAGCTATTCGCAAAAAGAGACCGGAATTATGGGCCAATAACTCTTGGATTTTGCACCACGATAATGCCCCTTCGCACACAGCACTGGTTCTTCGTGAGTTTTTTGCCAAAAACTCTACCCATGTTGCTCCACAACCACCGTATTCACCCGACTTGGGTGAATACGGTGGTTGTGGAGCAACATGGGTAGAGTACCGTGTGACTTCTGGCTGTTCCCAAAGCTCAAGAGACCACTCCGGGGAAATCGTTTTGAGTCCATTGAAGAGATCCAACGTGAATCGGCATGCGCATTGAAGGCTATCCCTACCGAGGACTTTTCGGCATGCTTCGAAGACTGGAAAAAACGTTGGCAAAAGTGCATTGGGGCCGGGGGGGGGGGGGGATTATTTTGAGGGGGACGATACAGATTTGGAAGAATAAATAAAGATTTTTCATTTTATAAAAAAATTCACCTTATTTTTTGATCACAGTAGTATATATAATATACATATATATATATATATATATATATATATATATATATATATATATATATATATATATATAAAAAATGTCCATGTCCTGCTGCCTTGTAGGATACGCTTTTTTAGGCAAAGGCTAGGAGAAGTTAACTCCGAATTAAAACACCCCCTGCCTTGGGGCTCTTGGTTGAGTAAAGGCTAGAGATGGTGTCTCGATAAAAATACTCATCTTGGGCAGATGTTACATGCATCCAGCTGCTGTCTTGTAGAAGGCCTCCTAGGCAAAGACTTAAGGGGTAAACAGATTCTATCTGTTGACCAGCCTCGCACCCCTTCCTCATCTATTAGGCTGGCGCAGATGTATTTTTAATACATTGTTTCCAGTTTAGGATGTTGAACGCTGGATCTTCTTGACTCAATGCGTGGGTATTGCTTGTGTCTCTATTTTTATGACTGGGCAACTCATTCTATTATCTCCTAATGAGGGTACAGCTCTAAAACTCAGTTTTATGGTTCTGAGGCCGGCTGGTAGTCAGGTTTCCCGAACTCTGTGGTAGCTCTCAGAGAGGCTGATTCCATCAACAGCCGAAAAATATCAGAGTACTAACAGTGCCATGTTGCGCATGGATGGTGTCCCTGTTTGTACTTTTGGTGTGCATTGCAGAGGCCACATTTGGAGCCCTTTGCTACGGCTTAGGGTTTTTTAATAGTAATGAGGCTATTGCTTAGTTGTTAAATAGTGTACTGAGTACTATCTATACTTGAGTCAAGTTCTTTATAAATTTAAAATGACTAAAGTACCTAAAACTAAAAAACACAAAAAACCATCGTCATCACCAAGTTCTCTAAACCTATCATTTACTAATATTCGTGGTCTTCGAAGTAACTTTTCTTCTGTTGAGTCTTATCTCTTGCAAAGTTCACCAGACCTACTTGCTCTTTGTGAGACTAATTTGAGTTCGGCTGTCCCATCTTGTGATCTTAGTGTTGATGGTTATCTTCCTTTAATTCGTAAAGACTCCAATAATCACATGCTTGGCCTGGGCATCTACATTCGTAAGAACTCACCCATTTGTCGTGAAACTAGGTTTGAATCTACAGACTATTCATTTATGTGCTTTCGTTTAGCACAACTTCACTCTATCGCCTTTCTCTTTGTTCTATATCGCTCTCCTTCATCCCAAGATTGCACTATTCTTGATGTTATTTCTGATCAAATTGACCAAGCCCTCTCTCTTTATCCATCGGCCAATATTGTCGTTGTTGGTGACTTTAATGCCCATCACACCGATTGGCTTGGCTCTAGTGTCAGTGACTCTGCTGGCGTTAAGACCCTCAACTTTTGCCTTTCTCAATCTCTAACTCAAATAGTCAACTTTCCAACTCGTTTTCCAGACAACCCTAATCATTTACCTTCTCTACTCGACTTATGTCTTGTTTTGGATCCTAGACAGTGCTCAATTTCTCCACATTCACCCTTAGGTACTTCTGATCACGGTTTGATCTCTCTAAAACTATTATCAAATTCTTCTACTTCATCAGAATCCCACTATCATCGTACCACATACAACTACCTTAAAGCTGACTGGGACTCTTTCCGTGATTTTCTTCATGATGGTCCTTGGGTAGAAATCTTTCGTCTTCCTGCTGAAAAATGTGCTTCTTACATAACTTCGTGGATTCAGGCTGGCATGGAATCTTTTATACCCTCTCGACGATTCCAGGTCAAGCCTCACTCTTCTCCTTGGTTTTCCTCACATTGCGCTGCAGCAATTTCTAATCGAAACCGTTACTTCCATATCTATCAGCAAAACAATTCTCCAGAAAACAGACATCTGTTCACTATCGCCAGAAACCATTGTAAAAAGGTTTTGTCTGACGCCAAAGCTCGCTATTCCCAGGTCATTAAATCTCGTATCTCATCACAAAAATTAGGCTCTCGAGACTTCTGGAGAATCTTTAACAGTATCAATAATAAGGGCAAATCTGTTATTCCTTCTCTCTTGTATGGTTCAGACTTTGTCACCTCACCTAAAGACAAAGCTGAATTGTTTGCTAAGAACTTTTCATCAATATCATCTCTTGATTCCACTAGTTGCGTTTTACCTGACATAGCCGTCAAACAGGTTGATCCCTTGCTTGACATTCGCATCACTTCAGCTTCTGTATCTAAAGTAATTTCCTGCTTAGACTCTTCAACAGCTTGTGGTCCTGACAACATTCCTGTTGTAGTCTTGCAGAGGTGTTCTCCGGAGCTTTCATCCATACTTTCTAAACTATTTAACAAGTGCTTATCAGAGTCTTGTTTTCCATCATGCTGGAAAGCAGCATCTGTTATCCCTATTTTCAAAAATTCCGGAGAACGATCTGATTTATCTAACTACCGTCCCATTAGTCTTCTTCCTGTCATAAGCAAGGTTTTTGAATCTTTAATCAACAAACACTTAATCTCTCATCTTGAATCAAATAACTTACTTTGGATTTCGGTCTTCTCGTTCTACAGCTGATGTGCTAACAGTAATAACCGATAGATTTTACTGTGCATTAGATAGAGGTGGAGAGGTTAAGGCTATCGCACTTGACATTTCTAAAGCTTTTGATAAAGTTTGGCATGCTGGTCTTCTCCATAAGCTTTCTTCTTATGGTGTAGCTGGTAACGTCTTTAAGATTATTGAGTCCTTTCTTTCCAATCGTAGTATAAAAGTTGTCCTCGATGGACAACACTCTTCTTCACATCCTGTAACTTCAGGGGTTCCTCAAGGTTCAATCCTTGGCCCTATACTCTTTTTAATTTACATTAACGATCTTCCAGATATTCTCACATCTAAGGTGGCATTATTCGCTGGCGACACTACCATTTACTCTTGTCATGATAAGAAGCCTACACTCTCTGATTGCTTGGAGGGGGTATCTGAGCTTGAAAAGGATCTCACTTCTGCTACAGCATGGGGCTCACAGTGGCTGGTGAACTTCAATTCAGATAAAACTCAATTTTATTCGGCCAATTGTTATCGTAATAATTTAGATCTTCCTATATTTATGAATGGTAATGTACTAGATGAGTCATCTACCATTCATCTTCTAGGATTAACTCTTACTTCTGATCTTTCTTTTAAACCGTATATCAAATCCATTGCAAAATTAGCATCTGCTAAGGTTGCATCTCTTTATCGAGCTCGACACTTTCTTACTCCAGATTCTATTCTCTATCTCTATAAATCTCAAATCCGTCCCTGTATGGAATACTGTTGCCACATCTGGGGCGGATCTTCTAATGATGCTCTTTCTCTTTTAGACAAGGTGCAAAAACGAATTGTAAACATAGTTGGACCTGCTCTGGCAGCCAATCTCCAACCTTTGTCA